GAACACCGAGGCTAAATATACTACTTTCCTTATGATGCTCCCAAACTCTTCACAACCTCAGTGTCCAATAATTATCAGTCAGTTGCTGTGAACAAATTTGTTACATATTTGTATTATGTTCTGATTGACTTTTTTTTTTAGGCAGAAATTAAATCCAGTGTTTAATACTAAAACAATATTTCCTGGCTTTGTTTACAGTGCCAGAACCAAGGTGGTAACTATTCAGTAATATGTATTACAGATACACATGTATTACAGATACACATGTATTTCTTGATGCAGGCGATGAGTCACAATAACGTGGCTGAAGTACGTTGACCAGACCACACACTAGAAGGAGAAGGGACGACGACGTTTCGGTCCGTCTTGGACCATTCTCAAGTCGATTGTGAGAATGATCACAATCGCTGGGTGGCTGGCTGAGTGGCTGGGTGGCTGTGGCTGGCTGGCTGGCTGGCTGAGTGGCTGACTGGCTGGGTGAGTGGCTGGGTGGCTGACTGGCTGGCTGAGTGGCTGGGTGGGTGGTTGACTGGCTGGGTGGCTGGGTTGGTGGGTGGCTGGCAGGCTGAGTGGCTGGGTATGTGGGTGGCTGGCTAGCTGGCTGAGTGGCTGGCTCTCTCACTCCCTCTTTTTTGTGTCCAGCCGGCTGGCTGGCTGGCTGGCTCTATCTCTCTTTAGCCCCCTTAACATCTTTGTCTCTCTTTATCTATCCCTATCACAGTCTCCCCCTTTCTTCATTTATCTTTCTCTCTCCCTGTCTCTCTCTATATACTTTTCGATAAGGGGAAAACAGGGCGTGTGTTCCATTCTCAGTGTGTGCCACATCTCCGTGGCTCCGTGGCCAGGCTGGGGGGTGGTCGAGGCCCTCACCACCAACAAATTTATAAACACTTAAATAATTGTTACTGTACATTTTACACTTCTCCTGCCAATGGAGTTATTCATGCCAGCTGTCTCCCTTGAGGAGAACGCTTTCCCGTCAACAACAACAACATCAACCACTACTACTACTACTACTCGATTCATTCATTACAATTACATTCATTCATTAAACAGTACACAATATCATGCCGTTTGCAGGCATAGATACACACGCACCCTACACAGTCATTCACCAGGATCACAGTCAAGCAGGGACACCTACCATAACAACAGGACCACCTAGTGTACCAACAGGACCACCTAGTGTGGTCGACTGTACAGCACTTAGAATACACTCGGACCATCTGGGATCAAACGCAGACCTGCAAGCAGCGAGGCCGTCGCTGTATCGACCAGTGTAAGTTGCTTTTTTTTTTTTTTTTTTTTATTAAGATATGAGGTACATCTGCATTAGTGCAGCTACCCCAGACTATATGAAGTGGAGTACAGTGTGTCAAAAAAGCTAACTAGGTGATGCTAAGAAATCCCCATCACACAGGATGGTTAGTCATACAGAGGCATGTGATAAGCGGTCTGCACTGGCAGACTCCGGATGCATTTTGAGGATATCAACAACACAAGATTGAATAAGGTAGCAGTGGTAATACAAGTCCCCATCTCGCAGGATGGTTAGTCATACGGAGCCATGTGTTTAATAGCCTGCACTGGTAAATTTTGGGTATACTGTGAGGATATCTTCAAGAATACGAGAGTGAATAAAGTAATTGCAAAGCTCCAGGTACCTCATGCCAACTGGTCTGAAAGGTCTAATAACTGGGCATTCAGTGATGTAGTGCGGGAGATCATGCCGTAGTTCCTGCTCACAGAGTTTGCAACTGGAGTGCTCAGGATTGGGAGACCCGTCACCTGCAGCCACCTGCCACAGGTAACGGTAACCCAACCTGATCCTTGCAACCACTGTGTCGCACAGTCTAGTGGACGTTTTGTGCTGTCCATAGATGTAGGTTTCAGATCTGAACAAATCATAGCTTTTTATACTAGTACTTTCAGGTCGTTGGTAGTTGTAGGCACACTCGGCGCAACACTCTACGGACGAACCAAACCACCGTTCGATACCTTTTCTCAAGGAGGGAAGAAAAGGGGTTGGATGGAAGAGGGAACAAACCATAAGAAAGAATCTTCAGTACCAAACAGTCTGTGGAACGCCCTAACGTGCCTAAATTCCGTCTGAGCTCATATACGATCATGGGGGATCGAACGCGGAAAAATGGAATAGAAATGAAAAATGAGAGAATTATAAATCTCTCACATCAAGGTCTGATTAGCATCTCCAATTTCCTCTGGACAGGTGTAGCTCCACAGGAACAACTCTTAACAACAGTATCAAGTGTAACGAGCTCAGATACAGCTGTAATTACTTAATGGTATCGAAGACCATTTTAGACAGCCAGGACGATTTCATCATTGTCAGACGGTCATTAACCATGTTGGGTGTTGAGTACACATCAAGGTAGAGACGCAAGGTTAATGACCTTAACTGCCTCCGAGACATTCCTTGAGCTTACGAGACTTAAGGTAATTCAATACCAACTATATATACCAGCTATATATACCAGCTATATATACCAGCTATATATACCAGCTATATATACCAACTATATATACCAGCTATATATACCAACTATATATACCAGCTATATATACCAACTATATATACTATATATACTATATATATACCTATGGTTATTGTTTCCTTTAATATAGTACCATTTGTTTACATTATACATAAAACATTTTAATTAACTAAGACTAAAAAAAATACGTGAAGTGCATAGTTTCCTTCACTTGTTGCCACGTTATATTGTTTGGTAATTGGCAGAGTCTTAAGAGCACAGTTAAGGAACTCTTAAGAGTAAGGAATTTACTCCAATAATAAGAGTCCAAATTAAATGATAAATCATTTAATTGTAAATGATTAAAGTGAGACCTGTGGACAGTTCAGGTTTATTAATTGATGTTGTGTGTTCCGCAGCTTGAACCTGAACTAGATGAAATAGTTGACCACATAACATGATGTACTCGGGCATAGGGATGGGTGTACTCGGGCATGGGGATGGGTGTACTCGGGCATGGGGATGGGTGTTTTCGGGCATGGGGTTGGAGGTACTCGGGCATGGGGATGGGTGTATTCTCTCACCAATTTAGAAACTACAAATATTTCTACACACTGGTGCTAAAAGCTAGTGTTAGCGGGACCAGTTTAATCTCTTAATGCAAGGCTGGCGCACAGAGCTGCAAGCTGGTGCTTACCATTCACCGCGCGTTCGTTCCACCGCCCAGCTTAGCATGGTGAGGTATGGCCCTCTTGTCTGGCCCTCAAGTGACGGTCTGCTTCTCAAGCACAATACTTGTCAGGCACTCAACTCCTGTTGCTCCGGCTCTCAAGGTTCGGTTAGGCCTCTAGAGTAATGGATTTTCATTTAGTTAATTATACTCTGAGGCCTCGTCATCAGATTTCTTAAATGTCGAGGCTAATGATAGTTCTCGACAGGATTGATATCATGCTTTTATGTTATATATTGAGAGAGAGAAAAAGGAATATTGCAGTAGCAAAAGAAGGCCAGTGTCTGCAGCAGACGTTACCTGCAGTAGACGTTACCTGCAGCAGACGTTGTCTGCAGTAGACGTTACCTGCAGTAGACGTTACCTGTAGTAGACGTTACCTGCAGTAGACGTTACCTGCAGTAGACGTTACCTGCAGTAGACGTTACCTGCAGTAGACGTTACCTGCAACAGACGTCGCCCGCAGCAGACTTGGGGAAATGGTAAAGGAATGGTTGAGGGCGAGGGGAATGGTTGTACGTTGTACCTGTTGCGTTATAATTTAACTAATCTGATGTCCACCTGGACATCAAGTCTCCTCAGTATCTTTCATGTTACGATCATTTCCCTTCCTCTGTTTCTTTTTCTCCTCCTCCCTGGATGCGAAGTCCAGATCTCTGTCCTCAAAGCCCCATTAGTTCTAGCACAAATCTTGTTACAAAACAATAACATTTCAGTTAGGCAACTTAATTTTGTGGGTTGTATCCTATGGCCTTGATGTTGGGCTCATCAACCTCTGGAGGGTTGTTAAGGAAACACCCACAACTTGCTAACCAACGAGCAAGCACAAAGAAGACTCTCAAGGGTATATACACCGAGTAATAGGGTATATCTTCCCGTGTGTATATATATATATAAATCCCTGTGTATGGCTTTAGGTACCTCTATAAGCCAAACTGGCTTCAGATCCTCGACAATTGGAAACCAGACCAAAATGTATCATGTAAACCACTAACACTAAGTATCCCTGAGACGCTGCGCATTATTAGTGGCTTTATACAATGTTTCAGTACTGTACTCTAAATGTAAACAATGTGACAATGGCCAATATTTAGCTTTATAATAGCTATCCCTACAAGTCTGTCACCCGCCCCGAACAGAGAAAACGTTACCTCTGTACTGAAGTTTAGATGGGTAACTTCAAAATTTGGCTCTGCGTTTTTCTTCATTGTCGGGGTCAAGAAGTCGGCAAGGTTTATTATCCTCCAGGGGACTAAGCCAACTACCGACCTTAACACATTTTATCTTAGGCCTTACCCCCCCTACTAGATGGCCCTGCAACACGATCCGCGAATAGCTTTACAAGAGCGAATAGCTTTACAAGAGCGAATAGAAATGCAGTTTGAAAATCGTCCCTTTATCCACTACACCACAAGGTAGGTATATGCTTATCAGACAAGCGTAAGTATACAGTAACCCTTGAAGGCGCCTTGAAGAACCCCTTTACTTGAACTGCTGTGGAATCTGACTCTCTGCACCTATTTTCATTTTCAAATTACGACTTTTTATACCGAAAATATGCCAATTACTGAAAACGGCGATGGGTCATATTTTGCCCAAAACCCCCTGCAGTTTTCAAAATATCTGAAGTGTCGGAAATTTACTCCTGAGCGTGATTTTTGAGCCGAATTCTGACAGTGGAACGAGTCACAGTACAACGAGCCCAAATAATATTACAAAAAAACAGAACCGCTGAGACATTTCGAGGTAGAGTGAGGGAGAGCTGGAGGACTGACCTGCTGTGTTATGGTGATCGTAGCTGCTGCGACGGTAGGGGTCCATGGTGGCGGCGCTCCCTGCGGCACTCCCTGCGGCACTCCCTGCGGCACGTCCCTGCGGCACGTCCCTGCGGTAGGAGGGCGCTCAGTTACTGCTACAAGGTCACGCCTTGAACACACATTAAATTAGTATACACATCACATATGCATGAATATACTGGTATACACAACACGTACACATGAATATACTGGTATACACAACACGTACACATGAATATACTGGTATACACAACACGTGAACATGAATACAAGCACACATGTATACAACACGTACCCATAAATCTACACGGAATAGCAATTACATTAAAGTAAAAACAACAAAATGGCAGCTGTTTCAATCACTTCCTTTATTATAAATGATTTATAATTTTATATTAATTATAAATAATTATTTGTATTCTTTGATAATATACTTCGATAAAGGAGGTAATATATACGACCCCCCCCCCCCTCCTCTCTTCTTATTCAGGGAGGGGGGGGGGGGGATTCAGACAGCAATGCCACAATTCTCAAACATAATGTAAATAGAAAGTAAATCTGCCCCCTTGTCTATGGCACAGATCCCTAGGCGCTATGACACGATGGGTCATCGCTGTGACATCGATGGGCCATCACCTTTCCACTGTTGCAACTGTAAATATGTGAAACAAAGAACCCCAACCCACACACATGTGAAATGAAAGTGAGACTGTTCCGGTCCGTCCGGGACCCTCTTTATCAAGTGGTGACGGGTCCAGGAGGGCCCGAAACGTCGTCATATAACTGTCTTGGATGGACCTATGCGTCGACGCTGTCGTGAGACTAATAAAACGTCGCATTCTGACGTATACTCGACCTAAGGCGAAACATCGTCGTACTAGAAAATGGTTACGAGTCGTGAAATTGACATACTGTCCAGGACGGAGCGAAACGTCGTCCCTTTCCTTTATATTTGTGTGTGTGTGTGTGTGTACTCACCTATTTGTGCTTGCGGGGGTTGAGCTTTGGCTCTTTGGTCCCGCCTCTCAACTGTCAATCAACTGGTGTACAGATTCCTGAGCCTACTGAGCTCTATCATATCTACATTTGAAACTGTGTATGGAGTCAGCCTCCACCACATCACTGCCTAATGCATTCCATCCGTTAACTACTCTGACACTGAAAAAGTTCCTTCTAACGTCTCTGTGGCTCATCTGGGTACTCAGTTTCCACCTATAGTCCAATGCATCATTAATTCCAAATAATATAAAAAAAAAGGAGATGATGGATTCAAGTCTGTGTTCCGTTACAAAGCTTATCATAATTTAGGATCCCGGTAGCATAGTCGGGTTTGTTCTTGTTCTTGTATTCGTGTATGAATACATGAATACACTTCCCGTCTCCCGACATAATGAATAATGTGACTAAAGTCACATTATGATAGTCGTCCATAAGCCTTAACAAGTTTTCTATAAGAGGATTAACTGAACTTGACTCGCATTACTTTCCCACACACCAAAGAAAACGGAGACTTCGGATGATACGGGAGTGTGAGGTATTATCCACTTGATGATGATAATAATAATTTTATTCAAAAGATTGAGTATACAAAATACATAGGCGTAATATACAGTTGTAGGTACAGGAGTTACAGTCTATGAAGCCAGCACCTGCTGCTGCTGCTGCTGCTGGGTCTATTCCTCCTGCTGGGAATACTCTGTCTGCTGGGGACGCAGACCTGCTGATGTTTCTGCCGTGATCTCTGGGAATGTCTCTTAACGGTGCTGGATCTGAGTCACGTCTCGTGCCTATAGATGCTCCCCCCAGCTGTATATAGCCGCTGTGTTACACTCTCTACTTTCTTTGTCCTGGCTGTGTCTGTCACAACTGGATTATACCCACTGAATGATACCCACTGTAATATACCCACAGCATGAGCGGGTAAAAGGGAATACTCACCTATCACCACTGAATCTAATTTCCCGCTTCCTCGGCCTCCGGGATATGCTAATACCTTTTACGACCGCGCGTAAATTTTGGGGAATCGATCTGAATAAGTAGCCGTTCGAGGTCTTTACGGTGGGTGGCTCAGTGCAAGTGTTTTAGCGCGTATTTGGGAGTTGATGGCGCGGGGAACCGGCTAGGGATTGGCCAGGAATACGTCAAGCCATTGAAGGTTGATGTTGCTTGTTGTTTTAGATTCAGCTACTCTAAACAAAAAGCTGCAAGTAGCACGGGCTATGGTGAGCCCCGTAGTGGACTTACCTGGCACAGGAGCGGGGGCTGTGTGAGGTTGATGTTAGAATTGAAAGCTTGCCTCAACTTAAAAACAAATTGTAAAGGCAGACAGAGAAAGGACTGGTGTATGGAGAAGGAGTTAGCAGCATGCTTTAGACAATCTGCTCACCACCCAACCTGTCCCTGTACATAGAACGTCGTATTTCGTTCGAATGGGTTACATAAGGTCGTACAATTGTTGTACTAAAAACTGGAAGCGGCTGGCGAAAGTAACTTACTGTTTATTGGTACGTTAAAAAAATAATAATAATTTTGCCCCGAGGGGCGAGTTTATTGGGCAGCGCCACTCATCCTGTGAGTGGTCATAATTCCATAGCAGTATGTACAACACTCCCCAATAGGAAGAAACCCCGCTGAGTTGTTCATCCAGTCACTTGTACCCAGACACAGCTGGGACTTGCTTAACTGTCTCAAGTGAACAGCTCCTCGCCCGCCATCAGTCAGCCTTACCCGGGCCGGGTTGCTGCTGCATCTGGACCCGCCACCACATCTGTCTTTGTTAGTTACTTCCCACAAGGCTCCTCTCCTGCCCCCACACCTGCCTCTCCTGCCCCCACACCTGCGTTCCTGCCCCCACACCTGCCTCTCCTGCCCCCACACCTGCCTCTCCTGCCCCCACACCTGCGCTGCCCCCCACCTGCCTCTCCTGCCTCTCCTGCCCCCACACCTGCCTCTCCTGCCCCCACACCTGCCTCTCCTGCCCCCACACCTGCGCTCCTGCCCCCACACCTGCCTCTCCTGCCCCCACACCTGCGCTCCTGCCCCCACACCTGCCTCTCCTGCCCCCACACCTGCGCTCCTGCCCCCCACCTGCCTCTCCTGCCCCCACACCTGCGCTCCTGCCCCCACACCTGCCTCTCCTGCCCCCACAGCACCTGCCTCTCCTCCCCACACCTGCGCTCCTGCCCCCACACCTGCCTCTCCTGCCCCCACACCTGCCTCTCCTCCCACCACACCATAAATGAGGAGTCAAGAGGTGTAGGGCTGGAGGAGGGAGATGGAGAGTTGGAGGTGAAGTGTGGGGAAAAATTCCAGGCAGCTAATCTCTCTTTTCAAATTGATTTAATAAAATAAAGTTATGTCTTATTTATTTTCTTAGTAAGTAAGTATTAATTAAGTGGACTGTATGTACTGGTAAACTGCCTGAAATCTTCTTACACACTATTGGGAGGGACAATTGGTAGCTTAAACCACTTTGTTATAGTCCCTTCTTAAACTACCAATTGTTTACCTTTAAAACTATTATTTCAGTTATTTCATTATAAGTAATTAATTATAACTACTGCTACTGCTATAATGTCTTAGCTGTGCCAGTAGAATGGGCCTAGTAAGGCGTGTAGGTGTAGCCTCAAGATGGGTGTGGCCCTGCCTCTTTGTGCCACGTAATGGCGGCTGGTGGGAAGGACAAGGCTTGGCAAACAAGTAGTTAATTATGTGTATGAACCAACTGTCTGCACAGATTCTTGAAGCTCCTCTCACAATTTACCTGTATGGGATGCAAGGATTAATCAAAGTTCCCTAAACATATCAATTACAGGTATGACATGAACTGTGAGGGCTGTAATGGGGTACACGTACGGTGTTTTTGGGGATGTCCTACGACATAACCATCTACATATTTATATTAAACAGTGCACTTGAATAATAAACAATACTTGGTAGACGGATACAGATGTCGTTGTGATGTTGTTAGGCTGTGTGGCTGGTGTTGACACGTAAATGGGGTGTCTAGCTGTTTACACCAGTTAAGACAGCGTGGTATGCTCATCCCATCTTTGTTGATGTTGTATGTATGGACGCCTTCCTCTCCGGGGTGACGCTCTTATGCTCTGGTTCCTCACTCAAAGTAATTTTACATTAACAAGGGAACCTAGCTACTATTTGATGTAAATAATTATATTCATTCTTAGTGATTACTTTTTTATTAACTTTAGATACTAAACTAATCTATTAACAATGTTTCATAATGTAAATATACGATGACTTTGATGACGTCACGGAGTCGATGACGTCACGGAGTCTCCCATTTTCCATCCTGAAGGGAGTATAGACTAGGGGAGACTGTGTTATTTGTGTGTGTGTGTCGGTTTCCCGACATAATTCCCAGGGGCAGAACACGGGTCGAAGTCCCGGTAAGGACTGCGATCACTTTATTCTTCTCCCTCAGAATTATAGTGCTGCTTTAATTTGAGTTTACATTGTTGTGCAGCAGTCCGTTGGGGACGTATGTCCCGTACTGGCGTATCGGGTGCTGGAAGTCGTTGTACGTCTTCTTTCCTGGCCAGTTCTAAAGGTACTAATTTCTCTAAAGTTTTGAGAGTAGTGTTGCCTTTGCATTTTACTTTCACTATTCTCAAGATGCCCTGGCTGTCTGGATGAACAGAGACTATTTCTCCTATAGGCCACTCCGAGCGTGGTCCGTCACTATCCACCAGAACTATGTCACCAGGGTTCAAGTTAATTCTATTATAGGGACTGTTTGCCCCGTAATGATACTCCCTCAGAGCTGTTAGGTATTCACGAGTCCATACGTCATTCCACCGACTTATCACCCCTGAAAGATGTTTGAAACGTTGAACCAAATCACTCTCTTTGACATATGAAGGATCCTCTGGTTCCTCATCCGTAAGGGACACAAGTGTTTTGAGAGGTCTCCCATACATCAAATGAGCTGGACTTAATGGTTCACGCTGCAAAGCATCATCAGAGAGGTAGGTAAGTGGTCGGTTGTTAACTCGTGCTTCTATTTCTATGATTACTGTTTGAAGCTCCTGAAGGTCAATCTTTTGGCGGTGTAGGGTTTTC